AGGACCGCTGGACAGGGAGGCCAGGGCCCAGTACACCATCACCATCACCGTCTCTGACCTGGGCACGCCCAGGCTGCAGAGCCAGCACAACGTGACAGTGCACGTGTCCGACGTCAACGACAACGCGCCCACCTTCAGCCAGGCCCTGTACACCCTGTTCGTGCTGGAGAACAACAGCCCCGCGCTGCACATCGGCAGCGTGAGCGCCAGCGACAGGGACGCGGGCACCAACGCCCAGCTCACCTACTCGCTGCTCACACAAGACCAGGCAACGCAGCAGCCACAGGGACAGGGACAGGAGCAGGTGGACGTGGGCGCGCTGGTGGCCCTGGACGCGGCGAGCGGGCAGCTGTTCGCGCTGCGCGCGCTCGACTACGAGACCCTGCGCGCCTTCGAGTTCGGCGTGCGCGCGTCGGACGGCGGGTCTCCGGCGCTGAGCGGCGAGGCGCGCGTGCGCGTGGTGCTGCGCGACGCCAACGACCACGCGCCGCGCGTGCTGTACCCGCCGCGCAACGGCTCTGCGGCGGGCGCGTGCCCCGAGCTGGTGCCGCGCGGCGCCGAGGCGGGCTACGTGGTGAGCAAGGTGGTGGCGGTGGACGGCGACTCGGGCCGCAACGCGTGGCTGTCGTACGAGCTGCTGCAGGCCACGGAGCCCGGGCTGTTCGGCGTGTGGGCGCACAGCGGCGAGGTGCGCACGGCGCGGCCTGTGAGCGAGCGCGACGCGCCGCAGCAGCGGCTGCTGGTGCAGGTGCGCGACCACGGCGAGCCGCCGCTCTCGGCCAGCGTGGCGCTGCACGTGCTGCTGGTGGACGGCTTCTCGCAGCCCTACCTGCCGCGGCCCGACGCGCCGGCGGGGCAGGCGGGGCAGGCGGGGCAGGCGGGGCAGGCGGGGCAGGCGGGGCAGGCGGGTGTGGGGGGCGAGGCTGGGCAGGCGGAGGCGCTGACGGTGTCGCTGGTGGTGGCGCTGGCGGCGGTGTCTTCTCTGTTCTTGGCGTCTGTGTTGGCGCTGGTGGCCGCGCGGCTGTGTGGGCGCGGCGGGGCCGGGGCTGGGGCTGTGGCGGTGGGGTCAGGGTGTGGGGTGTCTGTGGCCGAGGGCCGCTTCTTCCCTGCCGGGGCTGGGTGTGGTGGTGTGGGTCCTCTGGTGGACGTGGGCGGGGCGGGGACGCTGTCGCAGAGCTACCAGTATGAGGTGTGTGTGAGTGGAGGGAGTGGGACTGGTGAGTTCAAGTTCATGAAGCCGATTATACCTAACCTCACAGCCAAGGTTACTGGCAAAGAAATAGAGGATTCTCCTCTCCACAGTGGGTTTGAGTTCAAATATGAATAATTCTACCTTGCATGTTTGTGGTGTTCGTCACACTTTTCAAGCAGCATTTGTTTTCTGAAATGTGTGTGCTTTTTAGTTGGTTTTACTTTTTCCAGATTTCTTGCATTGTGTTTTTATATTGTTTTCAAGTGGCTGTTTATATATGGCTGTGTGAGATGATAGTTTACTACCTGGGAGTTCTTTATTTGTTATATGATTGTGTTGTAATAGGCTTGCCTTGTCTTAATTACTTAAAATTTATTAATTATAGACTTAGAGAGCAAATCGCTCCCAGTCTAAGGTGTTTATTTGCCTATTTCTCCTTTTGGAAAACTGAGATGTTGACTTTTCTCGTGGTGTGTTTCAGAAGCTGCATATCGCATCCTGCCACGTTTCTATTTCCTTCTTTTGTGTCACAAGTTTCCAGTGTTATTTGAGCTTTCTCTTTATTCATGTTTTAAACGGCATGTCATCTCGTTCTCAATGCTAGCATGTAAAAGAACAGAACTAAACTGTGTATGCGAAATGAATCCAAGCACTTTTAACATCTGTACTCCATTAATTTTCCTGTCGTTATCATCGTAGTTCCTTGATATACACGACAGTTTCTTTGGTAATGTTTTCTTGCTGGTATAATAAAGTTGATTAACATGTAAAGTGAAAATTTAATGTGCTAATCTGCCTGACAGTTAATACAGATTCTCAAACCTTTTCAGTTTTTTTCTGTGTAAGAATATTGCTTGAGTGATGAAAGGATATTTACAACTTATTTTCTAGATCTAGTTGTTAAGTTTTAATATGAAGATTAGCTAAAATTCATAAGACCAGATTTGAATAATCTCATTTGTCCTACTGGGGATTATTTTAGAATTGATGACAGTATTGCTAGATAATATGTGTATATCTTGTTCAGTTTTATATTTTGATTGGTTGTCGCTAAGATAAAAAAGTAACTCTTGCGTTCCAACGAAGAAATTAACTGCTGGCACTGCAGTCACAACGCTCCTACCCTTTCAATAAAATTGCCAGTTTTTAAAGATTAAAGTAATTTATGGCCATTTTGCTAAATGAAATGTGTGTGTACTTTATATTGAACTGATTTTGCTAAAACTCTTTTTAAGATAATTTTTAAATTTTTACTTTTTATTTGATGTTTTTTGCATACTTGGACAAAAATGCTTGCCTATGAATGCCATAGAAAGGTGTGGCGAGGTTTTGGTATAGGGGAATGTGGATGTGGAAGATAACTGCCAATTTTCCTTTACTTCCCTTTTCTCCTGTTTGGGAGAGGGTGAGGAAAGGGAAGGATGCTGCTCCCAGCTGCCAAACTACATCAGTATCTGGGGACGGGGTTCATCTTAGAAACCTTAAGGTGGAGAAGAATGCTCCCGGAGTGTTGCTTAAGCAGTTGCCAGGGGTCGAAGACTGTTGGTTTCACTGCTCTAAATTTGAGAAAATCCCTCCAGTTTCCATTGGCTGGCAGAGTCCTCCTTAGTGCATCCAGTCATCCAGATACTTACTGTCAAATCTTGGTCAGGAAAGTTGTCCAACCTGTTCTGTGCTCCATCTTCTTGCATGGCATTCAATGTCCTCATAGGCCCAAATGAACTGGCCATCATATCACTCTTATTCACCTGGGCATTCTGTCCACTGCATATGCATCAGCTATTGAGAAGGCCCAGTCCCAATGCCTGTATTCCAAATTTGGACCACAAATTCTATTAATCTCCCTGTGGTTGGATTTTTAGACCAATGATCCAGTTGAGGATTCCCCCAGGAAACCACACTTGGGGTGACCCCAGATCCAACTCTTAGCCTAGTGGCTAAGATCCTCACCTTGACTGGTGAGGATCCTTATCATGTATTGGTTCTCTCACAAGTGGCTGTAATGGCCAGAGCTGAGCTGATCTAAGGCTAGGAGCCAGGAGCTTTTTCTGGGTCTCCCTTGCGGGGATAGGGTCCCATGATTTTGCACCATCCTCCATTGCCTTCCCAGGCCAGGGAGCTGGATGGGAAGTAGAGCAGCTGGGACATGAACTGGCACCTCTATGGGATGGTGGTAATTGCTGGCAGAGGATTAGCTAGTTGAGCCATTGTATCCATTTTCAAAATTAAAATCAAGAGAAGTGAAGAATTTTCTGCGGGTTATATTAGTAAGGGGCACAAAGTCTTCATCTATTTTTATCATATAATAAGAACACATCATGTAGTCACTATTAAAATTAAATAAATAAGTTAGTATGAAATTTTTTCAAATAACTGATGACACAGGGTGGGTATTTTCTAATCATAATTCTTATTAGATGTCTCAATTTTATCAAAATTTATTGAATTTTATTTTCTCTGATGATATTAACCACATGATTTGGAAGATGTTTTTCTGCTTTGTTTAGGAACTCTGGTTTCTTTTCTACCTTATTTTTTTTTTGTAATGATGGTGGCAATTTTGACATTCCTGTTGCATGTGATTAGCATTTGCTTAAATGTCCTATCATCCTTGCCTGGTTTCTAATGATTTAAGAAATATGGTCTGTCCAAATGCTGTCGTTCTGTGAGTCTGTGGGTTGTGATGCTGAAGGGATTCACTCTGACAGAACTCTGCTGAGTGGGACTGTTACCTGGGAACCACTAAATATTCTGCATTATGTGTGTCTTTATTTGATCATTTGATATTGTCCAGTTTGGAATTCTGTGATGCTCACTCTTTGGGGGCCAGGTAGGGTCACGCATATACTTTGAGTCCTAGAAATGGGAATGTTGTATAGGGAGGGATTAAATGAAAAGTTTTCCTTATTTTACCTTCTTTGTTGTTTCTTTCAGACATTGCTCTTGCACTTGGTCCTAACAGGGTCTCCAAGATCAAAGTCAGTCCCATTTAATGTCTCCAGAGAATCAAATTTCCATTTTCTATTTTAGAATTATTTTCCTGTTTCAGTAGGATGATGAGAGGAGCAGATAATTTAAATCTCCTAAATACTTACTTCCAAGGAATGGCTTTTTGTCATTAATTAACTTCATTCTCAGTATCTGGTTCCTCTCAATACTCTGCTTAAGGTGGGGTTTTGGGAATCCAGTGTTTCTTGTGCACATTTTCAGTGCAGGAACTTTAAGCATTTAAATGGACCTACTAAGTGGATTTGCTTTCTGTTCTTGAAAACATGTGTTCACATGTGCATCCTTGTCCTTTGCACATTTGTATTATTGTTTTCATCACTTTAGTATTTTAAAAGGAAGCAAAAAATTTCAATCAATCCATGAAGTTTCCAAATTGTACCTATTTGTACTGATTTTCTATTGTGTATCATGTACCCAGTTTATAATTTTAAGAATGTAATTTGTACCTAAAATGTCCATGTAGACCATTCTATATCTTTCCTCCTCCTCTTGTTTTGAGAATGCCTATGGTGGCCTCACTGATGAACACCAAACACTCTGTCATTATATGGCAGTCATGTACTTCATCTAGGATTGAAACCACCCAACATTAAAAGATGTCCCGACAGCATTAAATGAAACATGTCTTTGTGTACTTGGAGGGATATTTTAATCAGTGTTTGAAAACAAATAATCATCTTATCCCAACACATAAAGAATTTCAGAAAACTATTATGAAAGATAGTATGTATTTATAGTGAAAAACCATAAATAAAACAACGTTTGATTCTGGAAAACATTTATGGGAGTAGAATTTATTGTGCTTTTCAACAAACTGCAAAAATCTGTGTAGTCACATGGTGGCGCTGCAGGATAATATCACGGGCAAAGATTACACAGAATCACGGCCGTGACTGCATCCCCGGACACAAAGAACTGCACCGAGTGAAAGAGCCAGCCATCAAGGGCAACCTCTCAGCTAGCTGTTCAATAAGGTTAAAGTGCTTAGGCGCGAGCTTTTAGTAGACAAATCCAGGATTCTTTTCCCATCAGTTGTGAGGTGGAGCTAAGGCGTTTCTGAGGGAAGCCTTCCGGAAAGGAGCCATGGAGATTGGAAGGGCAGGGTGTCTGCGCACCAGGCAAGTCCTGCTTCTCTTTATTTCGCTGGGAATGGCTTGGGCTGGCTCAGAAACCGGGCGCTTTTCGGTGGCGGAGGAAACGCCGAGTGGAAGCTTGGTGGGCAATTTGATTAAGGATTTGGGCTTGGAGCTGGGGGAGCTGGCGTCCCGGGAGACCCAGGTGGTCTCTAATGATCGCAAACAGCCCCTGCAGCTGGACAGCAGCACCGGGGATTTGGTGCTAAGCGAGCCACTAGACCGGGAGGAGCTGTGTGGCTCCGCCGAACCCTGCGTGCTGCACTTCCAGGTGATAATGAAACATCCTCTGCAGTTCTTACGGCTTGAGCTTGAGGTCATGGATGTCAATGACCACCCTCCAGTCTTTTTAGAAAAAGAGATGCTGCTGGAGATCCCAGAGAACAGCCCCGTGGGTGCCGTGTTCTTACTGGAAAGTGCAAAGGATTTAGATGTTGGGGTCAACGCTGTAAATGGCTATGAGGTAAGCCCCAACTCTCATTTCCACGTAAAACTGAGAGTCAATCCTGACGGTGAGAAGTACCCCGAGTTGGTTCTGGACGAGGCGCTGGATTTCGAAGCGCAGCCCGAGCTCAGGCTCACCCTCACAGCGCTGGACGGCGGGGCTCCACCCCGGTCTGGGACAGCCGCGGTTCGGGTGATGGTCGTGGACATTAACGACAACGCCCCCGCATTCGAGCGCCCGTTTTATGAGGTAACAATCCCGGAGGACAGCGTTCTGGGTTCCCAGGTCGTCAGCGTGTCCGCTTGGGATTCAGACTCAGGAGCAAACGGGGAAATATCCTACACCTTCTCCCATGGCTCGGAAGATATTCGCAAGACATTTGATATTGATGGGAAATCTGGAAAAGTTACTCTGAGAGGATCCTTAGATTTTGAAACAACTCAATCCTACTCAATAATCGTTCAAGCCACAGACAGGGGCGGCCTCTTTGGAAAAGCTGCAGTACGAATTCAGGTGACAGATGTGAACGACAATGCTCCTGAGATCGCTGTGTCCTCAATAACGAGTGAAATTCTAGAAAATTCGCCTGTGACGGTAGTTATGCTTTTCAGTATTCGGGATAGAGATGAAGGGGAAAACGGGAGAACGGTGTGTTCTATCCCGGAGGACATTCCATTTGTGCTAAAATCTAACGTTGCAAATTACTATACTTTGGAGACAG